TGCCGCGCCATTGCTTAGAGCTGGCTTGAAGCCTTGAACGACTGCTGTAGGTCGTGACTGTCTTATTCTCCCCTCAAAGTTTCAGTGTCGCCGAAGCTTTCCACCGAAGTGCTGCAAGAAAGAGAATAAAATGCACGACAAACTCATCAAGACAATTGGAATAAAGAGTAGGAATTGGGCATGGAACAGCAATTGCAAACTCTGCTAATGTTTCCATTGACTTTTCCGATTCTTCTTGATGGTAGTAAATTGAAATTTTAATCCACTCCGACATCAAGATTCTTTGGCAGAACCTTTCATAATGTTAAGTCGCCACTTGACTTCCTCGAAAATCAAGCGACAACTCAACTGCTTGGATTGGCAATTAAAATTTTAATTTACTTTAAGATGGAAGGGCGTTCGTCAAGAATGTGTTGAGTTTCCCCAATACATCCATGACTTTGTTTCTTCAGAATTATCAAATTCCGAGTCAGCCTTACCATCAATGGTTTGGCCAGGAGCTTGAGTGGAGAATTTTGATCCGGACTGGTCGTATCGATTTTCTCCCCTCAGTGACAGATGCATCTGTCCAGCTCTGAACGATAAAACATCTTGAAGTTCGGCATCAAGCCAGTTGCGGAAATTCGAGGCGTTAACCTCGATTCCCATCAATCTGGCACAACTTTGAAATTTCAAGACTATGTCCTCATCAAACTTGGAAGTTATGATGCTGTAGACAAGCTTATCGTCATGGCCAATATTCAAGATTTTGGCATGGTTAACAAACTCGTCGAATAGTCGGACAAACGATTCAACATTGTTGGTTTGTTTGATGCTGCCAATGTGAGGAGCTTTGGTTAAATTCCTCCATACCACATTGTACAGCTTTGAGCCATCTCCAAAATCCTTTTCAAGGTTTCTGATTCGAGCAACGTAACCATCGGCCGAGTACGTTGTCCCTCGGGAGATTTTTACAAAAATCTCGCTGGGCAACGTGCTGTTTAGCGCAGTAATTTTTCGCGCGGCCGACTCGTTCACTTTATAATGGACAGCTTCGAGAAACGATGCTCTCCAGTTGATAAAGTCTCGAATGTCCCCAGAAAACTTCAAAATTGCACTGGCCTTTTGAAGATTATTAATGTCAATCATCAAATGGCTGGACAAGGGTTTGTCCGGCAATTTCCAGGCTTTAGGTAAA